TGATCAGGATCGTCGGGGGAGCTACTTAACAGAGCGATGGAGCTTCCTCCGGCGCAGGATCGTTGAGTTAGACTCCACGTCAGTGTCTCTAGTGTTGTTAAGTGTATGCCTGCCGGAGTTGGTGCCATAACGGCTATGTCTGTTTTTCCTCAGGAGGACAGCGGAACGCAGGACTGCAAGACACACGGGGTGTGTGAAGGCACAGGGGCAGAGAGCACGGGATACCAGCACTTGGGAGAAGACACGTCACGGGAGTCGAGGGAGCACTTTGGAGAATTATTGTGTGGTGTACATTTACCTCACTGTAAATAAACCCACTGTTCATTCCTCTAAGTCCAGCGTTTGGGTCCTTTCTCCAACACCCCCCACGGTCTGCCCCCCAGACCGTGACAGTTTAGGAAAAAAATGCATTAAAGTTACTTATTGCAGTTAGTCCTTAAATTCTTCCTAAAAGTAACTCTGAGCTCTGATTAGCATCCAAATTGAGTCATATTTATTTTTCTAAGACCTTTACAGTTTTACATACCTATTCTGTGTGAGTTTATTTCAGGTTTCCAGTTGGTGTCACTTAGTCTGTCCTGGTCTTCCCTGGCCCAGACGAGGATCCCATTGCCTTCGTGCTTCAGTACAAGCTGTTCTCCCTCCAGACTGGTGCAAATTTCCTCCTCTTCCTCTTTAGTCTGCTGAGAATCTGAATCCTGCTGGTCCAGATTGGAGTGACTCTCCTGGTTACAGACCTGCTGGTTATCCATATCCTCTTCTTCCTTACATTCATCTTCATCTGGGAGGTCTTGAGGAACAAAAACACACAAGAAAACATTTACTAATGTGATGATGGCAAAACACCCACCTGAGCAAATATATCCCAGCATATGTAACCATGTCCCTCACATATGAGTGAAATGAGTTCTGACAGTCTTTTTAGCAAAGTTGTCACACTTTCAGTCCCCACTTATGTTGGGCACTGGTGCCTTCACAAACAGAGGCCCACACCACAGTTATGTCAGAACTGCTTTTGTGTTGTTGGAGGGGAAGACACTCAGAGTAGGTAAGTGGCACATTAAGGAAGTCACATACCTGTGAACTATATTACTGAGGTCCACAGGCATGAGTCTGATCAGTAGGGTTCATTAAATCTATTTATTTTTAATCAAAACATTGTTTTGTAATGCTGTATATACATTATAATAACATGAACATGCATTTAGTATCAACAGGTGATTGCAATTGTAATGCAAACAGTGCAGCTCCATGCTAAACTTTTGCACGATCGCATGTGTTTCATGAGACAGATCATACACATTTATTTCCTGAATTAAACAGCCTACTGGAAGCAAAATATACCAACCTAAAAAAGTAGAAATGAAAAAATTCTATGTAAATGTATATTATTATTAGATATTAAAGGAAAGAAAACCACAACACATCAACACTCGGTTGATGTCGGCCCTTGCTGTCTATCTTCAATCTTCTCCTGGCAGATAGACTAATAACAGCACAAACATGAGTAGACCAAAGACTGGTTGTACACACAGATGATCTCTGCAGACAGATGGGCTATGAGTAGTTGCCCACAGTCTGCCAACGGACTGCTAAGGCACTGCCATTGCCGAACCATAATTTTGCCCCAAGGGCTTCTCGAGAACAAATGTGTTGGTTGCAACTACAATATAGAAAGCAGCTAAATTAAAAGAAATTAAATTAAATTATAAAGTTTGATTAGCTGTTGAAACAAATATGTGATCTTGTTAAGTGTGTAATAACGTAGTGTAAAAGTGTAATAAACAGCTAAACCTACTTGGAGCAGAGACTGCTGAGCCACTGCTGAGGGCGATGTAAAATGACCCTGAATGATAAAGATCTGGAAAAAGTTTGTGGAACATCTGAAAAACTGTCATTTTTGCCTCAAACCAACGTTGCCCTGATGCCAAGAAAACTTTCCTAGACAACGGTCGAGGAATGTAGCCAGAGAGATGCCGTGAACTGTCCCTGATCCCTCGCTTTTTTTTTACACTGTATTCTGCTGTGGATTCCATATCTTGTGACACAGGCATGATATTTTACTCAGTTTCTGTTATACTGGACCTGCAACCATTTATTGTGTTGTTTATGAGATTTTTTACACCAGAAGTCTCAGTGGAGAAGCACATTTTGTCATGAGAATTGTTTTAGTTCATCTGGAAATAAATGCATTCATTTTAATTAGGCATTCACGCATTTGTTTGTTTGTTTTACAGCAGGAATACTCTGTCAGTTTCTTGGTCAAATTAAAGTGCGGATGCAGCAAATATGATCTCAATTTCATATTAAATACGGGCGTTAGAGATGAAAACTGCCTATTATTGTTTCTTGGAAAGCGATTGTATTTAATGAACTTACAGCACAGTTTGCTCTCTTTATGTTGATACAGCTCAACTAACAGCCTCAGTCTCCATCTCTCACTTACACGAAAGTTATCAATGAAATGAGAAGAGTAATTATTATACTTGGTTGTTAAAGTAAATGGATGGTTGAAATATTAATAACAGATCGGGTATTGTTTCCATAATCTCCACACTCACGTGTATCCGCTGGGAATAAACAGAAGCGGTGGTATTAAAAACATTAACTTTAAATTACAAGGCCCAGCCTAAATACTGCCGCTAGCCGCTTATCGTTTAAGACAAAGAGAAGCACTTCTATTATTTATGTAAAAAATAAAAAACCTCAGAGCTGCGCCTTCATTTTATTCTACAAACTGGGCTGTGATTTAGGTGCTGCGTGAGTCATCCCAGTTTTACATACCGATTATGTGTAACTTTATCTCAGGTTTCCGGCTGATATCCAGCAGCCTGAGCTGATGGTTGATTTCCTCCTCGTACCGGACGATCGTTTTTTTAACCTCTGAGAAGATTTCTTCAGCAACGCCAGTCAATCTATCCCTGATGAAGTCTCTCATATACTGAACTGAAGACATTGCTGAGCCGTAACACAGACGCATCGTTTCCGTTCGTCCTCGTCTTGTGTTGGATCTGCGGAAAGCTTAAGGAGCGCCACCTTCAGCTCAGGCTGAGAATTCCAATCAGACACAAATCCTTACAGAGCAGCTAGTAACGTGGACACAGGCACCAAAACTTCATGCTTGGAGCAGTGACTGTAGTCATTGGTTTGGAGCCATTATCTTGAAAATGTATTTATTTATTTTTGCTTTCAATCTTAGGAAACAGCTGTTTTCTAAACCTCAGATTTAAACTAACTACAACATGAAAGACTGAAGTTTAATTAACTCAGCAATGTCTCTAAGATAAAGTCAGGCATAGAGCGGCTGAGTGAATGTGGTCTGGATTCTGTGGAGGAAGTCATGGTTTCAGGGAAGAAGGACACAATACCTGCTCATCTGGAGGACTGAGGACCTGAGAGTCTCAGAGCTCTGACACAAAACCTCAGAGGACGGATATTGTTGCTGGATGAGTTTGTAGACTCACATCTTCTACAACTGAAATAGTTCTCCATCACACCACCAGCCCACAGACTTCCAAATAACATAAAAATCATACATGAAACTGGTTCCCTCATTTTACAGTAAAGGGTGTTTCCTTGATAACATGTGGATGCTTTGCTTTGCTCCATAGACTGCTATTGTTCCTTCAGCACTGGTGTGATCACATTATAGAGAGAGATTACAGTAAATTATATAGTTTCAAAAATAAGGCAAACATTGGGCTGGCGGTAGAGGTGCTTCCATATTTTTATCCTTTAAGTAAATTGGGGATTGAAATGAGCCTCTTTCATCAAAGTATCACTGAGAAATTACAAAGCCCCCCCACAAAATATGAGTTAAAACAAAACATACTGGAAATCTCTGACAGAAAGTCCACGTTAGCACAAAAAGTTTTCCATCACATGTTGTTCAGTGCATTCATCTCATTAGAGTTTTCATAATTACTAAAAAGAAATGGTAAATGGCCTGTATTTGTACAGCGCTTTACTTAGTCCCTAAGGACCCCAAAGTGCTTTACACTACATTCAGTCATTCACACATTCACACACACATTCACACACTGGTGATGGCAGCTACATTGTAGCCACAGCTGCCCTGGGGAGCCCTGAGACTTACTATTACATTTTTATGCAGTTTCTACTGCTGCACTAAATAAACATCATATGTGTGTCTCATTGCATAAAATGCTGGAGCTAGGACATTTAAACAGGAACTGTAACACAGACTGAGGCACAATTAACCAAAAAACAAACATCAGTATGTGAATTAATCTAAGACAATGTCAGGCAAAGAAAAGCTCGTGTGAAATAAGGCCCAACACTGTTAGGTTTCTCCCATATTTTACACATAAAGAAATCTTTATTTAAACTTTAAAAAAATCACAACCTTTCAGTGCATGCTGAAATCTTGTGAAAAAAACTTTTGCATTACCAATGTCCATATTGATATATATATCTCATGTCACTTTCCAGCTTTTAGTCCTCACTGAACAACAAAGGAATCGAAACCTGGTTGTAAATGTTTTTTCCATAACACAGATGTTTAGTGAAAAAGGATAGAAATCTCTCAACCTGTAACTGAGCATTAAGGTCCAATGATGACAACCTTGTTTTTCCAGTGAGGGGTATGTAGTCCCAGTCTTCCATATCCTCTTGCATACCTTTATTTCAAATCTACTGAAGCCTGCCCACAAAATGATTAATTTTATATATGGTGCGGTTGTGTGTCAGGTATAATGTCAGTGAAACGGCTCGCATTTGATTATTAATTCAGGTGTTGCATTATAGCCTAGTGTAAAATAGCAGCGAATCATGGCCTCTAGTAAACATCAAGAATATAAATACAGAGCTGAGAATGA